GGGGGGAAGGGAGGAGTACTGTGACCATGACGACTTTGGAATGCATCACTCGTTCGGAGGTGTTACGCGCACCCCCGAAATAATATTTCAGGAAGGCGAGGAGGAGACCCCATGGGATGAGCTTTAGGATTGTCCATGCGTGGGGGATTGAGGAGATGCCTTCTGTTATGCCTTGGGTGAGGATGGGGATGGGCATGGTGAGATGGTAGAAAATAACAGAAGCAAGGAAAGAAAAGGAATGAATGAGTGAATGAGTGACGGGGAGGAGAGAGAAGACGAGTTTACGTATGCCAGTCAGTCAGTCAGTCAACTTCGGAGCGGACGGAGAACGGAGGTAGTGTCTAGTCGCCGATCTCCCGCCACTTCTCTCCCCCTTGGCAGTTCAACCTCTAATTATAGTGTCATTTCACGACTGAATGAATACACCATGCCTCCCACATCACATCAATCACAAGATGGAGCAGACGATGAAGACGAATACATCCTCCCCCTAGAAGACCAGCGCGTCTTCGGCGCCGGTATCCGGCGCAAGCGTGTCCCGTTCGTACGTTCCTCTGAACATGAACTTTCTACTACCACCACCACTACTAGGACCTCTGAGGGGGTTCCGACGTCAAGTGGACAGAGTATAGCGGATCGGTATTTGTCGATTGTGTTGGACAAGGGACAGTCACCACAATCACAATCACACTCCGGGACGCCCTCTCCGCAGCCACGCTCTCAGTCGCAACCTATACCAACAGCAACATCAACATCTAGCTCTACGACCTCCTCAGCTCCCTCCCCATCTCCAAACACCGAACCACAACAACAACCCTCACCAGACAAACCCACCACGGACATCGACATCTGCCCCATCTGCAACCTCCCCACCACCACACCCTCCTCCTCATCCAACCCACACACCCACCCCCACGAAGCCACCCTCCCACACCAACTCAGTCTCCCGCACTCTCACCCCCCCTCGCACCTCGACCGCACACGTCCCGGCCTGCGCTACCTCGCCGCCTACGGCTGGGATCCCGATAAACGGATTGGTCTCGGTGCTCCAGGACGCGAGGGGATCCGAGAGCCGGTGAAGGGGAAGCTGAAAGAGGATACGGTGGGGTTGGGGGCTGTGGTGCCGGAGATTAAAGACAAGCATAAGGGGAAAGGGAGGGTGGAGAAGTTGAATGCGAAGGAGGTGAGGAAGAAGCAGATGGAGGAGAGGAGGAAGGGGGAGAGGATGAGGGAGATGTTTTTTAGGAGTGAGGAGGTGTTGAGGTTTTTTGGGGAGGGGGCGTAGATTTTATGGATGGGTTGGTGTGGTGTGGTTAGGGAGGGTGGTTGGTGATATGGCTAAGGTTAGGGGCTATTATGCGATGGTACATGTTACTACATACACAAAGATACCAGATTAGTGTTGGCAGTGTCGGACTGGGTATCACAGTCGTGGATGCAGCATGCTGGTTGATTGTAGGTTCACCCGGGGATGGGTCACCGGAAGAAGTGATGCCGCTTCTTCTCCTTCTTCTCCTTGTCCTTCTCCTTCTCCTTCTTTTCCTTCTTCTTCTCTTCCTTGGTCGGCGCGCCGTTTTTCTGCCCATTGCCCAATGACATCGCCGCCAGTGCAGATGCCGGCGCCGGCGGGTTCAGATGTGGCACCGGGTTCGGCTTCTTCACCGGCGCTGGTGCCGGTGGAGCCTCCCGCTCAAACAGATGCGCGGGCGCCGTCGGCTTGGGTCGTTCCGCTGGAATATCCAGTCGTCGCTTGTCCACGCTCAGGTCGCCCAGCTGGCGCAGGAACAACCCTGGAGACAGCATGTGGGACGTGGCCAGGAACACGTCCTTGCCGCACGTCTGCGACATCTCGTAGCACGTGCGTGCCTCTCCATATGTAGCACCTCCCGCCATGAACACGATAATCCGCTGTCGCGGCTGCTCGCCCGTCGTCCGGGTCCGCGCCCACGTCGGCTTGGCACTGCGGAGCGAGGCCTGCGAGGCGCTGTCCGGTGGCGCCGACGCATCGCTATCGGCGTGCGGGCGAGTGAACGGGAAGGTCCCCGCATCCAAGGTCCCGCGGACCAGCTCCTCCAGGATCAATTTAAGGTTCAGGTCGTAGCGCGACAGTCCGTCTTCTTCGACCATCGGCCCGGACGGAGGCTTCCGGGTGAACAAGGGCTGCACCGGCGGCTTGTCATCCTTCAGGGGCTTCTCCACGCGCGCCCCGAGAAGATCGAGGTTGGACACAATTTCACCGTCCTGCGGTGGAAGTTGCGCATGCGCCATGAGCTTCCGGATGTCGCCCGCGAGGATGCCTCCCCGGTAGATGATATAAAGCAGGAGGAGTCGCAATCGCTCCGGCTGCTTGATCGCGTCGTCGTCCAACAGTTGCACAAGCTGGGAAGCCAGGTTCTTCGCCTTCTTGTAATTCTCATCCAATCCAGTGGCGAGACACTGTTCCACCGCGCTGACTTCGAGGAGCTTGTGGTCCTGGAAGTACTTCATACACTCTTGCGCCATGTTGAGGTGCAGCGTGTAAGCGTCTCTTCCCTGTTGGAACTCCGTCAGACCCGCCAGCATGTCCTTGATGGTGTTCACATTCGCCTTGTCGTTGCTACGGCCGTTAGCGAGGCAGATAGAAAGGCACGACGTCACTCACTCTTCCGCAAATTGGGGGTTGGCGGCCCGGAACTTGGCAAAGTCTTCGCCCAGCTTGCCGAGCACGTCCTTCATGTGCATGTGCCGGTACTCGACCCACACATTGTCTAGTTCGTTGATCTCCATATCCTTGATCTCCTCCTTGGGACTGCCCTCGTTGATGACGGTTTTGTATGTGACCTTGTCGCCATCGTTGATCGGCAGCAGATCGTGCACCATAGACTGATAGGTGAATTCGTGGATCAGGGGTGCGATCAAGTCCGTGGAACGATCCACAACCAGAAGCACTCCGCGCGGTCTGGGCGATGGGGGAGGAAAGTCGCGCTGGAATTGTGCAAACTGATCGAGTTCATTCTGGACGAACCGCGCCAGGTGGGAGCACAATACGCTGGCCTCGTGGGTCGGAGCTCGGGGCTTGTAGTATCGAATCACGGGGTACTCTCCTAAGCTCGCGCAGAGCGAGACAATCTCAAGCCATTGTCAGCATCAATCAAGCCAGTCCAAGTCGCCCTCTCACCTTCTGCGCGATTCCCTCCAAGTGCTGACGGATGAGATGGTTGCAACCAGGGTGGAACAACACCGGGAAACTCCACGGGTCTCGGAAGGTCACCAGACGCGATTCCCTCGGGAAGTAGTCGGCATTCATGATCTGGAAATTGGCGATCTGCTCGCGGGCCATCTGGGACCGGTCCAATCGAGCGCGCTGTTGCGGATCGAGGACTGCGAACGATGTCAGCACCGACAATGGCCGCCAAGACGCAGGTGCCTAACATGAAGTCCAAACCAACCACGCCTTCCGATATCTCTTCCTCTCAAAGTCCGCCATTATACAGTCGACAATATGTGGAAGAGGCGAGAGGATGTACAGCGCATCCATGGTGGGATTGGGGGAGCGCCGATGCTCGATCTGCTCGACATCTTCGAACGGCCGATTAGAGCTGCGGCGGAGACAATGAGGTTGGAATTCACTCACTGGTGACATTGAGGTTGAGGATATCATCCTCACTGACCGCATTGTATATTAGCTTCCGACTGGTTTCGTCCACAACCAAGACCTTCCACTGTAGGTGTCGATGTTAGTTTCAGCGTGGGGTGTACGGGCGGGGCCAAGTTGACGGTAAGGAGAAGGGATGGAAGGGAAGCAATCGCACCTCATTACCCGCCGCATAACGGATTGTGTTCAGGATGACTGCGACGAGGGTTAATACCAGTGAAACCAAACGGCGAAGCTGCAGATCCACTTACGATCATGCTGAATGTTGAGGATTGAGGCGCTCATCGTGGCTGACCGGCAGCCCTCCACGGGGCATAGACTTTGGATTCACGATGCTGGAGGGGAGAGGGCGGAACGGCAGGGGGGCGGAAGATAAGGCTCGGTCAAAGCCAGGGACGGGACAATGAAGAGCACCGATCAGGGGCAGCCGGGGAGGAGCAGGGCACCAGCGATGCGGGCAGACTTTCTTTTTGAAACGTAAGTCAAGACTCAGGATATCCCCGAGACTGAGACAGGCCGACCCTCTGCGGGACCCTCTTCGGGACCGACGAGATACTCCCACCTCATGTCTGGATCCGCCAGGCGGTGTGCCCCTGGGCCCGTTCCGGTTAGTGCAGGGCAGCTATACTCTTACCTGCCACCGTGCTCAGGTTCGACGACAGCGATTGCTCGACATGACATAGTTAATTTCGGAGGGAGTCTGGAAGAGCTTGATAATGGCACAGCATAGTCCCTTTTACATCTTTCAATCGTTGTTCTCCCATGGGGCGGACATTTGGTGGACGCCTAGTCACGTAAGTTGCAGATAAAGGAGGTGGATCTGTATATAATGTTGTGAGATACAGCTCAGGGAGTTGAAGATGTTGGTTATATTCACTATCTAGGCTACGGCTGGAAAGAAGAAGAAGAACGCCTTATTAATAATGGCTAATATAATTAAAATATATAATCCTTATTTACTAGCTAACCAGGCACCTTAACACAGCCTCCTAAATAAAAAAGAGTCTGTATTAGGTTAAATATAAAACTAAAATAAATATTTAAATAAGAAATTATTATTATTAAATTAAGTATTCTTACCTGTTAGTTATAGTAGTTTTTAATTTTTTTAATTATAAAATATTACTTAAATATATTTATTATATAGGTAATCTCCATAGCATTTATAGATATATATCAGCCAGGGGCTGTGTAGAAAACAGAATAAAATAAAAAAAATAAAAATAAAAAAAATAAATAAAAAAGAAAGAAAAAAAGTAAAAGAATAGAAAAGTAGATTAAATGCTTATTTTGGTTTTTCTTTTTTTACAGGCATCACATGTATTTAATTTTCTCTTAGCTGGTCTAATAGCTATATTTATTACTTAAGAAAGTCTTATATCAGAAGCTGGAGCCAGGATCCTCAGGTCTTTTACCTATAAAGAAACTATATTACTTATAGCTTAAAGTAGATAATATATCTATTTCAGGAAAAGACTCTCTAATAGTTTTTATTAAAATTAATACCTTGCATTGGCATAGTCTTTATTTTATAATTATATTCTGTATTGTTGATCTCTTCGCAGCAGAATAAATAAATTAAAGATATAATATCAGCTTTAGATAGATCTGATTCTTAGTTTTAGTACCACCTGCCACTATATAGTAAGTAGCTAAGAGAAATTTTAGAAAATGTCATGCAGAATGCATAAGTAACTATAATTCAGTCTAATCTACTAAAAGTAATAGTGAATAGAGCCTATTAGAAATTACTTGACTTTACTATGAAGGTTATTATTGTTGGAAAGAAGAGGCACTAGGCTAAAAAAGAAAAAATACTAATCTTAATTAGGTCTAATATCTTCTCTGAATACAATTGATTAATTAGCTAAAGGGAAGGATTCAATAAAAATTTCCTAAATAAGAAAGAAAAAGTAATTGAAATTTAATTAAAGAAATAATTCTGAATTAAATCGCTTGAATCTCTTAAGTTGCTTAAAAAAAATAAAATAAATAAGATTAAAGTTATATTTATATTTATTTATCTGTCAGGCTGAATAATCATGAATCAAGCCTAGATTAGATTACTTTAAAATTAATAAAGTCATGAAATTATCAGAATATAGAGTAAAATAGGATAATATAATATAAAAATAGAATAAAATAAATTTCTTAATAAATATAATCATAAAATAAAGAAATAATAATTTTATATAAGCAGGGAAACACGAGTATTCACTTGATTTGTTAAAAAACTGAGCCGTTAAAGTCAAATTATTGGGGATGACCGATTCCCGCAGAGGTAACCAGTTGGCTGTTTGATTGGCCAGTTGACTTGCTGAATTTGGCCAGTTGACAGAAAATTCCAGCTAACAATAACTATAATATATATTCCAATAGACTAATGTTTAAAAAAATCTATTTATAGTATAAAATATTACAAATCTTGTAAAAAATAAAGTAGAAAGTCTAGTCTATACTAGGATAATTAACTAATCTCTAGCTAGGAAAACTTGATCAGTATACTCTCAATATAGAAAATCTTTAAAAACTAATCTTTCTTAGTTATTCTAGTAAATAAAGGAGAGCCTATATAAATTTCAGCTATAATACATCCAACAGACCAGATATTAATATTAATATTATAGATATGATTTTTGAATAGTATATCAAGAGATCAGTACCATAGAATAACCACATTATTTAAAAATATGCTAATAGGGATACCAAATACATGGCTTAGTCTAAAATCTATAAATTTTAGTTATCTATTCTAATTAAAGAGCAAGTTCTCGGGCTTTAAATCTCAATATATAATACTATTCTCGTAATAAAAAGAAATTCTATATAATAACTGATAAACTAAAGACTTAATAGTTGTCAGCTGGAATTTCTCTATTTGTCAACTGGCCAATCAAACAGCCAACTGGTTACCTCCGTGGGAATCAACCATCTCCAATAATTTGACTTTTATGGGCTGGTTTCCCAGCTAACCAAGTGAATACTCATGTTTCTCCACTCATATGAAATCATTATTTCTTTATTTTATAATTATATTTATTAAAAAACTTATTTTACTTTATTTTTATATTATATTACTTTATTTTATCCTATATTCTAATAATTTCATGATTTTACTAATTTTAAAGCAATTTAATCTAGGCCTAATTCATGATTATTCAACCTGATAGATAAATAAATATAAATATAGCTTTAATCTTTATTTATTTACTTTATTCTTTTTTAAGTAATTTAAGAGATTCAAGCAATTTAATTCAGAATTATTTCTTTAATTAAATTTCAATTACTTTTTCTTTCTTATTTAGGAAATTTTTATTGAATCCTTCCCTTTGGCTAATTAGTCAATTATATTCAGAGAAGATATTAGGCCTAATTAAGATTAGTATCTTTCCTTTTTTGGCCTAGTGCCTCTTCTTTCCAACAATAGTAGCTATATCAAATAGGCTATCTTAAATATTAATATAGCATTTTAAATTATTATTTATATACTCGAATATTAGTACCAGTTTGTCTTCTGTAATCACCACGTCATATAAGATTAGAATATTCTTATATATAAGATATTTAAGCAACGAAATCTTCCGGATAATTACCAAAGAAACTCCTTCCTCAGTATTAAGATTAATTTCTTTTAACACTACTGTCAGAAGTCTGACCGCTCGGCTAAAAGGTACCTGCAGGCGCTTAGTAGACCGTACAGTAGACTAAGTACCAGCAAACTCAGGTAGGACCCCAGCCGACAACTACTAACTTATTTATTGCGTGATTCTATTTTTTATATACCATTGTATATATTCCCTGGCCTACTTTCTTCAGTTTCTAAATGAAATTCTGATAAGAGGCTGAATATATACTTCCAACTATAATAGGTATACTAGAGTTATAAGCTTTCATGTCCAAAAAAATATAGATAGTAACTAGGTTTGCAGATACGCTAAGGGATACTATTAATAATCTACTAAAGCTTATAATAAGTAAAATATTAGTAAATTATTAATAGTAGGTCTTTCATTAGACGCTCTAATCCTGATTCAAAGTCTAACTAATTTAGATACTAACTTATCCAATAGTTACTAGTAATAGGATTAGTTTTAGTCAACAGTTAGAGCATTTTCTATTCAGAAAGAAAACATTGCGTAGCCATAGTATAATAGATATACTTTTTAATTAATAAAATAATATTAAATAATTATATAAATTATACATACATAATATATGTGCAGTAGTATTTATTATATAAAAAATCATTCGAGCAGGTAACGGCACTAGCCAATCTATATAACCATACGGGGCTTAAGGGGAGCTAAAAATAATTAAACATAATTTTTTAAAAGCTAATTATTGAACTCTTTTAATATTATTTATTTTTTTTATTTATTTGTAAAGTACAGCAACTATATGCAATGCAAGCTATGTTATAGTAATAAGATAACTGTGTATTTAGTGCCATGTCTGAACATGTTAAATTAATCTACATTTATTTATGATAGTTAAAAACCTAGTTAACCCAGTGAATTTTTTTTGGCAGGGGAAGGGGCGCACAAAACTTAAGAGTTGAATTATAAATACAGGAGGGTTTGTGATTAAAGATCAGAAGAAAAAAACTATCTATAGATTGATTCGTGGAATACTATAATAATGTTGAAGGAATTAAGCAAGCAGAAGTCGCCTAAGACCTCCGACTTATCTAAGAAGATGATACGATAGAAACAAGTCCAGTATAGAAAGGATCTTATATGAAAGGTCTACGAATATAGCAAGCTATATGATGCTGATGTCTGCCTGGATATTTACATTTAAGAGTCTAGCTAAGTCACAACATTTCTCTCCGATTCGACAGGATTCTGGTTAGGCCTTTTCTCGCGACTAATACGCTTTTAGTATGCTTGCTGTTGGTATGGGAATTAAAACCAAATAGAAAATATACTATCCATGACTGATTTAGAAAACGGAGAAGGATTTTGACTCCAATCTTATAACTGATGAGAATGACTCAGCAGCAGCCCAAGACGTCAAAGGGGGAGAACACTGGGAAGGCCCATAACTATATGTTATGTTTAGGCACACTGCGATGGCCAGAGGAATGATGCACTGGCTCAAGGAAGTAGAGTAAGAAGAGTGATTGTATTGAGGACCTTATTTTGGCTACGGCCGCCGAAGTGTAGAGCTAATATGATGGTTAACGTGCTTTGGTCACGTGACGATCGACATTACCTTCTTGGGTCAATTTGTGGAAGTGAACTTCATCGTTATCTGCGCTACCTGATTCTTGGTTTCTGTTGGCTAAAGTTGGTATTCTTTCGCTGGTAATGATGCTGGTTACTTTACAAATGTTAATAGTTTGGTCAAATTCATAGCAGGACAAGATATATTTCCTCTCATTGGCTACCTTTGGAACCCACGGGCTCTGCATCAGCCAGTTTCCTTGACTTCGCCGCCTCGCGACCACTTCACCTTATTAAGTCGCAGCATCCTACGAGATTACGCAGTTTCGGGCAAGCATCAAATATTATGGATATTTACTTCATTACTGACTAAGAATCCTTTAGAAAGGCCCCAACCAGTAGCGAGTACTTGGTATGCGATGGGTCTCCAAGCATGAGCAGTTCTGAGAGTAAGTATCTCTCCTTGTTCTCTTCCATTGCCCTACTTCCTCTACATTCCCTCAGCTACTCCTTCAAAGAACCCCCCTTTTCCGGGAAAAACAAAAATACTTAAGGTGCTGATCATACTTTATTCATTTTAAATAGTATTGAGTAACTAATGTTGTGATCATTATCTCCCGTTGTTGATTTGTTTTAGGCCTCCGGACAGAAGTCTTTTTTTTCGAAGGAAACGGCCGCATATATCACGGATATCGGAGAGGAGTCTATATGTTACCGTATGATGAAGAGGAGCAGGACCGTCTTGATCTGTTCTATTAATCAACTCCCGGATAGCCTACGTAATACTATGTTTTACTCAATATCCGATCGAGATTTCGCTACGGACTTTTTCTCTCAGGCCAGCGGGATATAATGCGATTAGGAGATAATGCCTCAGGTTTTGAAAGGCAGGGCAGATCATCCGTCACGGGCCTTAGCAATATCTGCGAGCCCCGTCGCATGCAAAACTGTCCTTAGGTTGCTATTTCATCACGATTGCGCAGATTAACCAGGCCAGATCATTATGTCGAACGTACTTCCCCGCCGTTTCTGGTAGCAGTTGGATGATAGCAGCCAAGTTTCCATTACTCATGAAGCGTTTGATGATGTTGAGACGAATGTGGAGGGGCCGCCGTGGTGCGTGCTGACTGCATCATCTGGGCATGCTCTATTTTTGGTCAATAATTGCTCATAATAGTCCTTGTAGTCATTCTTTTCGAAAGAAGTTATCGTGCCTTTCACTACCACCTTGTCTACAGAGAAATCATTTGTTTACCTACATTTCGTAGTGGCCCCCATACATCGAAACCTTGGTTCTGGACTGCTACGGGCTAATGTGACCAATTGTCAAGATAATTGGTTGCTTTCCACATAGCACAATAAGGTTCTAAATACGCTAGAAGGAGCAACGTTCCGTCTCAGAAATTTGCCGGTAGTAAACGCCCAAGTTGAAGCTAGCCAGAGTTCTAGGTGGACGATCACATTGCACTCGAGAGTTGTAAATAGCGTTTCGGAAAAGGGAGAATATATCTGCATATCCGACTCTGACAAGCATACAAACATACAAATGAAAATCGCGAAAACAGTGAAGTGACGATGTGCGCCGCATTAAGAAGTCAATAGATTCAGGGCTCCTCCAACCAAATGCAGGCTTCCCGTCACAAAGCATTGAGCTCCACCAGATTCAGCAGCGATTTGTTCCGCAAGCCTTATCGCCGCTTCAATTGTTGGCTTACTCGAAACTATCGCTTCAGGATCGAGCCTGCTCCAGACCGCAGCATATACAGAGCAAAGATCGGGAAAAGGCTTTTCGGGTACCTTGAGAGTTTTGTCTAGGAGTAAATGATCAACGTGGAAACAGGGAATAGGGCTGTAGGCGGAATCTTACCTAGCCTGCTAGTTCCATCATCCCTTTCATTATATGTAGTGAAAATGACATGTTCTGGCTTCGCACCCCGTGCTGAAAGCGCATGAGCTAAACACTCCACCAATACCCTACCGTCCCGTTCCTCCGAGAAGTGGCTAAATATTAGAACACGACATCTGTACAATGTGGTTAATGGTCGACATCTCTCGTTTTCTTCCACACTAACTGACCTGCGATAATTCAAGGCACCGGTATTCTCTGAGAACCATGCCGCCGCTTGTTCGAGGCTCAAGGTATTGTGAGCACCGTCTAAAAACCAACGACAGAGGCCTTTCTCTATGATCTGGAATCTGCCACCCCAGGAAAAACTGTCGACGGCGCGAGAAATATCCTCGGCATTCAACTCGTGTCCAGGTGCTTTGACTTGCACAAATTTTCTGACCAATTCGACAGCTAGTGAGCAGTTCAATTTTTGTACTGTAACACCCAACACTTTCGAATTGTCAGGAAGTGAGGTATTGACTGCGACAAACTCCAGATGTGTCCGTTTCTCGGCCGCACGGTTCCGCAGCATTCGAGCAGCAACAGCCTCCTGTTCAAGGGAGAACGCAGGAACCCCAGTTTTGAGGATTCCTGCTTTATGCCAGGCAATGTCTTCTAGCGTAGGTCCGAGTTGTGCTACATGATCCATGCCAAGAGATGTAACCCCAGTCACAACGGGGTTTTGGACGACGTTCGTGGCGTCGTACTCTCCACCGTGGTGTGTTTCAAATATTGCCGCTTCAACATTCTCCCTGATAAACGTGTGGAACGCCAGTATTGCCAGAAGCTGCAAATATCGAGGGAGTCTAGCACCTTCTTTACCATTGGAAGGGTTCTGCGTTATGATGCGATCCCAAACTTCGAAGAAGTATCGAGCAAAAATCTCTTCCGTGATGGGTCTGTCGTCAATCTGTATTCTCTCTCTGATACATTGCAAATCAGGAGAGGTGTATAATCCAACTCGACCTGGAAAACCTGTCCTCAGACCATGCGAACGAAGGAGAGAACGAGCGAAAGCACATGTGCTTCCCTTGCCCTTCGTACCAGCAACATGAATTATATTGAGGTTGTTCAAATCAGACTCCTATCAAGAGTGAGAACAAGTACGTTGCCGTACGAGTTGACATGTATACCGTATGCCCTAGCATTTGCAGCCACTCCTTCATCCCATTCAGGCTAGGTACACCCCTAACTGTCGGGGTATTGCTCGGGGGCGCTCCAGTTTGCTGTTGGAACGTTGCGGCAGGGGTTGTCGGTCGCGCTTTTCGCCTTCGAGTCTCCAGGAGCTTGAGTGCATTCTTTTCAAGTCAGTATCGAGAGCAGTATATTTCTGGGGAGTAATACTTCATAATTACGCTTCATGTTGCCAATGTGCATGGGTACCTGACTTAAAAGTCACTCCGATCATTGCTGTGACACTATCTGTGAGATTAGCAAGGTATGATTATGGTCTCCAGTCCAGAGAGCCCCTGATCACGTGCAGGCGCACCGTCCGGCTAAGCAGCTGCTGAGCGACCCCACTCCAATTATTCCGTTCACCAGACAAACGAAACAAGATAATCGTCGTTAGCATGTGGTGAGATAATCTCGTTCTCCAAACCTGCGCTGTTACTGACGCTGTTAACGGTCTAGATAATGCGACAGCTGTGAGCTAAAGTAAGGCCACTTGCCTGTTTCCTTTGCTCCGACTATGTCGAATCCGTCTGCCCCTCCCGAAGATTTTATCGGCGTCAATGGATCGATGAAGCCCCTAGATACTTTTGCGTCATGGTTGAGTGTAGCCGCAATGCAGGAACACTGGCGGCCCTATCGTGGAAGCAGTGTAGTGGAACAATGCAGTCACCCGGATCGGGCAACTAAGGTTATGCCTCTCATCAAGGCTGCGAACATTGAAGTGAGCTCAAAATCCCTTTGTGTCATGTTGCTTTCTTACTGAGTACACCTCTATCGCAAGACCAGGGGAAAGGCGGCATTTCTCATTCGGTGTCATGGTCCTTGCAATGAAAGCCTCGGGCCAACGAACTTAGAAACATTCCCAGGCGATCTGTTGATTTTAAACCACGGCAAACGGCTCTCATCAACTGCAGACGGGAAGCCTCTGGTCATGGGTAGATGGCTGTCGTTCAATCAGGCAGTCAATCTTGAGGTCGCCTCAGGAGAGGTTCTGTATCTGCTCGCCATTTTCACGAAGCGTTGAAGGTGTCCAAGTCAATGCCATAATGTTCGAAGGCAGAATTGTCCGCATCTTTTTCATAGTAAGATATCGCATCGATGTTGTCGAGATCAATTCTGAAGTTTTCTGTTGTCTCCGTTAACTGCATCCATTTCTTGTCTGAATTTCCTGCACATACCCGAGTCTTGCCATGTGCCTCCAAAGTCCGATGTAACGCCCGTTGGGTAAGGGTATCCTGACAGTAAAAGATTTTAGCACGGTTCCCGCAGTCTGTAAATCACACACTCGTGGCTCGCACAAATCTGTGCGTCGTTTCTCCTTTATTTCCTGGACCACCGCAGGATGGGGATATTGTGTACCTGTGACAGGTGCGTGTGCCACATTCGGAACAGGTTCCGAAAAGACATTTTGTGATTTGTTCTGGTCGGCTCCTGCCAAATTTGCAGCAGGATGGCTAGTGGCGTTTGGGGTGCTGTAACAGCGGTGTGTGGATGCTTGATCACAGGGGGCAGCTCTACTTAGTGTCTCAATCATATGAGGGGTAGACCTTGGACATGGAACATCATGCTCATCAAGTGCTTTCCCGAGTTCAACACATCCGGTCCTAGGAGGCGAGTTTTTGACCGAGCCTTCTGCAAACCGCCCTGGACCAGCAACTTGCTCTTCTATCGTATTCGGTGGTTTATTGGCACCATCAGACCAGGGGAAACGCCGACGGGATCGAGGTGCTGGAATGCTCTTCTTCTTTGATAACCTTGGCGGTTTTCTTCTGCTTAAAGTCTCCACGATAAAGATAAAGTCGCGGTGTGGTTCGATGTCGTCTATGGACCTTAAAAGAGCCTGCAGATGCTGTTCTGGGAGGTGCCTGAGTAGTGTCATGACCTGCTTGTTGTCTGTTGCTGCAGTTGCGAGAGCAGCTACAGCACGAACACCGCCATGGTTATAGAATTTCCCTTCCAGCGAACGTGAGTCCGTCCTCCCAGTTTTACATTCATTGACGATGGTATGTAGTCGATATGGTGTTCTTAGCCGGCTGGATTGAAGGGATCGGCGGAAACAGTCTCCTAGTTGAAGCCGAGCTAATATGCCTTCGTCCATTGGACATAGAAGAAAGGCTTCAATCAGAGCTTCAATGACGAGGCGAGGCTGCTTCTCCAAGGCGGCCTCGATCTCAAGCACATCGTCATTAAGAACTGCCTTGAGTTTGAAACCCGGCCGGGCCATTGCTTGTCTAAGGATGGTTGGCAAATCTGATTTTAAGATGTTTGGGGCAGTAAGTAGCTTTTTGGGGGATTTGACGAGGAGAAGGTGGCTTTTAGCTACTTCGGTATTGTAGAAATTGGCGGCAGCCAAAATCTCCACGTCTGAAATTAGTACTAGGCAGTATCTGAGTGGATTACTTGGCATTGTCGCAGCACTCCACGAACGCCAACGTACATCCAATATAAGGGTAGAAATATTTAACAAATGCAGTAGCCCATGTAGTCAAATTTGTTTCGATTCCCACTAATATATGTCTTTCACTTGATAATGCTTCAAAAGGTCCAAGCCACATACTGCCGTTGCTGAGAGGGATAGCCAGGCTGGTGCACATACCACTCTAATTGTTACGGTTCGCATTACAACTCCGCCGACAATAGTCTATGCTAGACTGCATACACCATGAGATTGCCTGCTTTTGTGGCTTCAATTCATTATACTTTGAGAGTGCATTATGAGTTCCTATACTTACCATTGTACTAACACATCAGTCTTTGCGCGTTATCACGTGACCACGATTTTTTGCTAATACCGTTCAAGTCCAGTCTGTACGGACACAACTGGCGCCTTTCCACCGTACACCGCTCGGCAGATTTTATCCGCCTGGCAGGGGTCCTAGTATTAGCCTGGTTCGGGCGGGACGAAAGCCCCCTCCAAGGCATTCCATTCAGGTGTGATAAAACTATACCCTGTGCTCTCTTCCGTCGGCGCTTATGGGGGCCTTCGGATTGGTGATTGCTTGTGTGATAGGTGATCTTGGCCGTATCTCTTCGGCGTATGGTGTTAGTACACGTGTCGTCCCCTGGCACAAGTGAGATGTATTTAATAGCGGATGGCCCCTTTTATTAACGTTTTTATGATGTTCTGGATGCGACTGCAAACAGTTACAACATCATTATGACGGGCGCAAATAAATACGGAATCACAGTTCTCTACGATCCTTCATCCAACAGTAGAGAGGGCAAAATACATAAGCAGAGAGATGTCGTGTTCGAGTAAGGATTTTATCTTCATTCTGTCCTTCGTGGAGAGTAAAAAGCCATGAGACAGATGATCCCGCAACATAAGTCGAGTTGATAATGACTAGCTTGATAGTTTAGTTGCTATTCATGGCTTGAACGGCGATCCCTTCGACACATGGACTCATCAAGACACGGGGGTCATGTGGCTGAGGGATCTCTTGCCTGAAGCATTACCTAACATTAGGATAACGACTTTTGGCTTTAATGCTCGCTTCAAAAATTTTACCGCCCAGCAAGACCTACGCAGTATATCATTGAAACTACTCACTGAATTGGCAGACATAAGATCAGCCGCAGATGTAGGGAATAAAATCAACGTGGTTGTGTTTATGATTGGATTGCTTTTGCTAATTTGATACAAAGGAGAAGATCCGGCCCATTGTGCTCGTTTGCCATAGCTTGGGTGGAATTGTCGCAAAGAAGGTACTTGATTCCAACTCTGAAGCTTAAAGCAGTGTCTAACTCTGGCTGAAGGCTTTATTGATTGGTTGTTCTGACGAACAAGAAAAAGTGCAACAGGCAGTGTATGGAATCTTATTTCTTGGTATGTAGTTGTTCTATCGAACCCTGATGATACTTCCTAACAACCTGCAAGGTACCCCGCATAATGGCAGCAACCTTGCTGTCATGGGCAAACTCATGGCAAACATTGTTTCAGCATGCTCGCCTCTGAGACCTCCACGCGCTCTTATTAGGGACCTACAGAAGGACTCTGAGGTCTTACTAGAGATCACAGAGGACTTCGTGAAGAGAAGAAGGACGGTACATCTCGTTTCTTTCTACGAATTGGAACTTACCTCTATCGGCCCATTCATTAAGAAAATGGTAGTCACTACCCCGAGAGTCATTCGCAGTCTTGCTGTTAACATTTACAGCAGATTGTAGAGCAGCAATCTGCAGTATTGAATGTTCCTCACGAGATCACAGTTCCTCAATTTGCTGATCACCGAAATATTGTGCGATTCAAATCTCTCCAAGATCGCTCTTTTCGTCCTGTGGTTAGCCGTCTGAAGGAATTTGCTGGCACTCTTCATGACGTCTTCACTTTGGAGAAAACGTCACATATGCAAAGAGGTAGGTTACTGCTTACTAGCATCGCTTAATGATAGCTAATGCGAATAGATCCCGCTATTCCCTTTGACATTTCAGCCGTACCTTGTTCGACTCTATTTGGTAGAGCTGACATCCTCGAAACAATGAGGATGTACTTCGATCGCAACAAAGGGCAGACAAGATCGATATTTGCCCTGTGTGGTCTAGGTAAGTTATTAACTTCGTTGTCCGATGGTTGTTGCTGACTTAAGAGAAGGTGGCTCAGGAAAGACACAGACTGCCTTACACTATCTCCTCAAGAACACTTCGAAATATAAGAGAGGAGTAGCTTTTCTGAACGCAAGCTCCACTGCTTCACTGGAAGCGGACTTTGATCGATTGCATGATCTTCTCCACCTTGGCGATTCGAAGAGCAAGACGACTTCTATCAAGAGCTGGTTGGCGAGACCTGAAAACACCGAGTGGTTACTTGTCTTCGATAACGCTGATGATCTAGAGTCAGTCCCTATACAGAAGTATTTACCCGCCGTCAATTGGGGCCATGTTATCATTACTAGTCGTGACCAGGGACTTATCGGGACTGTAGCCAACGAGGGTCACATACTCAGACCTCTGGCGAACGAAGATGCGGTGCAGTTGTTACTAGAAAAGGCCGGTATCCAGCAACCTTCTCAAAGTGAAATTGAGGATGCCAAAACCATTGCTGAACTCCTTGGATCGCTTCCCCTGGCTCTAGTGCAGGCGGGAGCATTTGTACGCTCACGTCATAGGTCGCTAGCAGATTACCGGAGACTTTACTCGACACGCCGACAGGACCTACTCCGGTTTGTCTCACGTCTGGGAGACACGGAAAA